ACAAATGGCTCGAGGCCATAAAATCCAAGAGAGGATCCATGTATAAAACAAAGTGTAGACTTTGGAAGAACTACTTGATGGTCATAAGGTTGTTGGGTATAGATGGATTTTAAAAGGGGAGACGGACAATGATGGTAAGTGTCACAATTAAGAAAGCTCGACTTGTCACTAAGATGTTTTCCGACAAGTTCAAGGAGTTGACTACGATGAGACTTTCTCACTCGTAGAGATCTAAGAGTCTGTTGAAATTATATTAGCAGTTCTTGCATTATTTATGAAATCTTGCAGATAGGATGTCAAAACATTGTTTCCTCAATGATTTTCTTGAGGAAAGGTTGTATGTGATACAACCAGAAGGTTTGTCAATCCTAAAAGATGCTAACAAGTATGCAAAGCTCAAGCAATCCTTCTAAGGACTGGAGTAAGCATCTCGGAGTTGGAATATATGCTTTCATGAGATGATCAAAGATTTTGGGTTTATACAAAGTTTATGAGAAACTTGTATTTCCAAAGAAGTGAATGGGAGCACTATAGCATTTCTGATGAGTATATGTTGTTGACATATTGTTGATCGGAAATGATGTAGAATTTCTGGAAAGCATATAGGGTTATTTGAAAAGTGTTTTTCAATGGAAAACCTGGATTAAGTTACTTGAACATTGAGCATCAAGATCTATAAGGATAGATCAAAATCGCTTGATAGTACCTTCAAATGAGTACGCACCGTGACAAGATTTTGAAGGAGTTCAAAATAGATCGGCAAAGAAGGAGTTCTTGGCTGTGTTATAAGGTGTGAGTATTGAGTAAGACTCAAGACCTGACCACGGCAGAAGAGAGAGAAAGGACGAATGTCATCCCCTATGCTTTAGACGTAGGCTCCACAGTATGCTATGTTGTGTACCGCACCTAAAGTGTGCCTTGCCATGAGTCAGTCAAGGGGTACAAGTGTGATCCAGGAATGGATCACACGACAGCGGTCAAGGATATCCTTAATAACTAGCGGACTAAGGAATTTTCTCGATTATGGAGGTGGTAAAAGAGTTCGTCGTAAAGGGTTACGCCGATGCAAACTTTGACACTAATTTGGATGACTCTGAGTTGTAGACCGGATTCGTATAGTAGAGTAGTTATTTGGAATAGTTCAAATAGCGCGTGGTAGCTGCATCTAGGAGATGACATAGAGATTTGTAAATCACACACAGATCCGAAAGATTCAGACCCATTGACTAATAACCTCTCTCACAAGCGAGATATGATCAAACCCAATGGGTGTTGGATTCATTACAATCACATAGTGATGTGAACTAGATTATTGACTCTAGTGCAAGTGGGAGACTATTGGAAATATGCCCTAGAGGCAATAATAAAATGGTTATTATTATATTTCCTTGTTCATGATAATTGTCTATTGTTCATGCTATAATTGTATTAACTGGAAACCGTAATACATGTGTGAATACATAGACCACAACATGTCCCTAGTGAGCCTCTAGTTGACTAGCTCGTAGATCAATATATGGTTATGGTTTCCTGACCATGGACATTGGATGTCATTGGTAATGGGATCACATCATTAGGAGAATGATGTGATGGACAAGACCCGATCCTAAGTATAGCACAAGATCGTGTAGTTCGTTTGCTAAAACCTTTTCTAATGTAAAGTATCATTTCCTTAGACCATGAGATTGTGCAACTCCCGGATACCGTAGGAATGCTTTGGGTGTGCCAAACGTCACAACGTAACTGGGTGGCTATAAAGGTGCACTACGGGTATCTCCGGAAGTGTCTGTTGGGTTGGCACGAATCGAGACTGGGATTTGTCACTCCGTGTGACGGAGAGGTATCTCTGGGCCCACTCGGTAATGCATCATCATAATGAGCTCAATGTGACTAAGTAGTTAGTCACGGGATCATGCATTACGGAACGAGTAAAGTGACTTGCCGGTAACGAGGTTGAACGAGGTATTGGGATACCGACGATCAAATCTCGGGCAAGTAACGTACCGATTGACAAAGGGAATTTTATACGGGATTGCTTGAATCCTTGACATTGTGGTTCATCCGATGAGATCATCGTGGAACATGTGGGAGCCAACATGGGTATCCAGATCCCGCTGTTAGTTATTGGCCAGAGAGCTATCTCGCTCATGTCCGCATGATTCCCGAACCTGTAGGGTCTACACACTTAAGGTTCAATGACGCTAGAGTTGTTATGCGAATTAGTGTGCAGTTACCGAATGTTTTTCAGAGTCCCAGATGAGATCCCGAACGTCACGAGGAGTTCCAGAATGGTCCGGAGGTAAAGATTTATATATGGGAAGTCCTATTTTGGCCACCGGAAAATGTTCGAGATTTTTCGGTATTGTACCGGGAAGGTTCTAGAAGGTTCTGGAGTGGGGCCCACCAGCATGGGGGGACCCACATGAACGTGGGTAGTGGGGGAAAGGCCCCACACCCCTGGTCAAGGCGCACCAAGATCCCCCCTTAGAAGGAGTAAGATCATATCCCGAAGGGATAAGATCAAGATCCCTAAAAAGGGGGATAACAATCGGTGGGGAAGGAAATGATGGGATTTCTTTCCTCCCACCTTTGCCAACGCCCCAATGGACTTGGAGGGCAAGAAACCAGCCCCCTCCACCCCTATATATAGTGGGGAGGCGCATGAGAGCTTCACCCTTGCCCCTGGCGCAGCCCTCCCCCTCTCCAACTCCACCTCCTCCTCAGTAGTGCTTGGCGAAGCCTTGCCGGAGAACTGCAAGCTCCACCACCATGCCGTCGTGCTGCCGGAGCTCTCCCTCAACTTCTCCTCTCCCCTTGTTGGATCAAGAAGGAGGAGACGTCCCCAGGCTGTACGTGTATTGAACGCGGAGGCGCCGTCCGTTCGGCGTTAGATCGGATCTTCCGCAATTTGAATCACCGCGAGTATGACTCCCTCACCCGCGTTCTTGTAACGCTTCCGCATCGCGATCTTCAAGGGTATGAAGATGCACTCCCCTCTATCGCGTTGCTAGTCTCTCCATAGATTGATCTTGGTGACACATAGAATTTTTTTAATTTCTGCAACGATCCCCAACAGCCGACTCCTCCCGAGACGCCGCCGCGGCTCCATGAAGAAGGAGGAGCCTGCGTCACTGCCCGCGTCACCGCCGCGCACCTCCCATCGAGCCCTCGCGCCAGCCGCCTTCACCATCGCCCCTAGGCCCGCCGGCAGGCGCGACTGGTAGTACCTCAGCGCCGATGTGTGGGAGACGAGGACGCCGGTCCCGTGGAGCGACGTCCACCTCCCCAACAATTGACACCTCTCTACCGACCGGGTCCCGATCCCGCTGGTGCCGACGAGCGGCCGTGCGCGCCGCCGCCTCCTCCCCGACGACCTCTACTTCGATGATAGGTGCACCCCCGATTCCGGCCTCTGGGACACCTGGCTCCAGAACGAGCACGACACGCGGCGCGCGTCCTACTTCGCCGGCACAATGTCGGGGCCGCGGCGGCCACGTCGGGAGGTGCGCGGGTGTACGCAGGTGCGCTGCCTCACGCCCACTCCGTCGCCTTCCCTGTCTTCGTCACCACCTCCACCTCCTCGCATGACAGCGGAGGAGGAGGCCCGGCTCATGCAACGTGTCATGGAGGACTCCATGAACACGCATGATGAGCGCCAATGGCCGGGCCTCGAGGAGACGATGGCCCTCTCTACGGCCGGCGACGTCGCCATCCCCGAGCTGGATATGGTGGCGGTGGAGGAGCCGATGGAGGACGCGCCAGTGGCCGCGTTTCATCCGAATCTGGTGGGCCAGCACTGGAGCTGGTCGTGCACAGCTCCGGAGATGGCCGACACCGTGGGGGCGTGAACTGGTGCCCCACGCCGCCGCAGTCAACGGAGCGGGAGACCTCGCCACGGGAGGAGGTGGTGCATGCACCTCCGGCCTTCCAGCCCGCCCCCGTGTACCACGCGTCGTCGTCCCACCTCTGGACGCCGCCGGCCTACGTCGACCTCTTCAGCGACGACGACGACACCGGAGGCCACTGAAGACGGCCACGGCCACGGCATCGACGGGCGCGGCAGGAGCGCGCGGGCACCTTTTTTTAATTTTGTTTTTATGTTAATTATGGCACTGGGCCGTTAAGTGAACTGTTAAACTGGGCCGTTTTGTGATCGTGACCCCTAACTAATGTTTTATGTTTTTTTAACTGTGTTTATTTATTTATTTTGATCATTTTATTTACGTTTTTCTGTTTTTTTAATCACGTCCAACGCGGACATGACTTGGGATGCGGCCGCGCGGTGGACGCACGCATGACCCAACGGACAAGAGCGGACATGGACGAACCCATTGCCGCCCCAAAGGGACAAAATTCGGCCAAACCGGACGTCCGTTTGGGTCGTGCTGTGGAGTTGGCCGAATGGTTGTGGTTGATTAATGAAATTTTTGCTTTTGAAGAAAAAAACTCTATATCATATATCGGACCAATTTTCAGAAAAGAAGGCACTCCTTAGTTTTTTTTCTCGAAGAATCCTGTTCAGTTTAAAGAGGGCCCGAGTTCGTTCGGCGTGGCTCACTGGCCGGTCCTCCCTTTTCGGCGGCCCAGCAAGCAAACCAATGGCCACCCCGAAACCCTACGTCCCTATCGCTGGAGCCCGATTCCCTCCTGCCTCTGCCTCCTAGCCGCCGCTTTCTGCCTCGGTGCCTCTCACCGCCCCGCGACACGAGTGCCTGGCCCTGACCCTGGCCGCCTCCTCTCTGACGAAGACCCCGAGCGCATCCGAATTACCCGAAGTCACAACCGATTCAACCGAGACCGAAAACGGACGCCCAGCCCACGGCCAGGGCTGGGGCGCGCGCCCCCATATTTCAGACACCGCGCCACGCTCCCGGGCCCCGCGAGCGCCGAGCGAGCCGACACCTTTTCGCGGCCGCCCCCCTCCCCTCCGGGATATTATTAACCTCCCACCCCCCCTCCCCGACTGACCCGGAGGCACGGCTGCACGCGCCGCCATCGCCATGGGCTTCCAGGACGCGCCCAGCGGGAGCGGCGGCGGCGGCGGGAACCTGTCCCTCGCCAGCGTCGGCTTCGCCGGCGCCGGGGTCGGGGTGGGGGTCGGGGCCAAAGGGGCCGCCGGCGGCGGCGGCGGCGGATACAAGGAGCTCCTCGTCATGGCGCTGCCCAAGGACGACGGCCTCGACGCCGCCAAGGTCATCGGCGCCGGCCTGCCGGACGTCGGGGAGGCCGTCAGGGTAAGCATGCCCCGCCCCTCCCTCCCTCCCATCCCAGAGTCTATTAGGCTGCCGCTGCTGTTCGCAGCCTGCTGGATGTTCCCATCTGGTTAAACGGGCGGATGGCGAGCGGTTCCCCCCACTGGACGGATGCGCTCGCTTGCTTCGGTTTAGTCAGGGCCGCAGACGCAACGATACCAAATCTCGTTTGAATTCTGACCTGTTTGGCGCAGAGCGGAGCGCATGAACTGTGCAAAAATATCTGCTGAGGATATTTTACAGGAGGATATTCTGCCCTGACGGCGAAAGTAGCTACTGAATCTGCTTCTCCGTTTAAATACAATTTGCAGATTCGTTTCAGAGTTGTTTGTTTCCTATCCCACCAATGCACCCAGGAACCATGTCTAATCTCAGTATTTGTCATTATTCATCTCTTCCTTTGACTCGTGCATGAACAAAAGCTTTCTTAGCTTACTTTTTTTGCGACTCTTTGTTGCTTTTCTGTGGATGCATGTTACTATTGTTAGGACCATATATTGATTAAACCAATCAATGCGCACGAATCCTGTCGGCTGTCACGCCCGTATGGAGTATCAATTAGCATAAATTACTGCATGACTTTTGGTACTGATTTGTAGGCCCGGGACAGGCTACAATTGGAAAATAATATTCAGAACTTAAAAGCTGAGAACATTTGCCCCTTTTGCATCTAGTCTGTGGAGAATGAGAGCCTGCAAGAGGAAAGAATGAGCTAGGTTCAAAAGGCGGAAGAGAATATGAAAGCCCCACGCACTATCATTTCAAATTTCAATTTTATTTTAACATTACAATGAGTCAACTAGTTTTATACGCTTAGGTAACTTGAGAAAAGATTTTTGGTTGTGTTACGATTTACGAATATTCTCTAGGTTTGAACAAAGGCAAATATATGGAACAACATTTACCTTTCGGCGCTTGTAATTTTCCATGGTATAGATTTATGTATCTGGAGGTGTGCACATGTAATATTTGCATTTAGTTGTTCCAACCACCAAACTGAAATGTGTAACTGGACATGGATTTGTGAGTGATTGTCTTGACATGTTCTTTTTTCCAATCGGCTGCAGGCATTTTTTAGAAGTAGAGAGATTAGAGAATTTGCCAGTGGGGCGTTAGCTGGTGCTATGTCCAAAGCTGTTCTTGCTCCCCTTGAGACTATCAGGTAACCATCTAACCATCTTTACTCGCGCAGTTTCATTTATTTACTCATCATGAAGTCTGGTACTCCGGTGTGATTTTTACACCTGACGTATTGATCCTTGATGGTGTAAGCTTGGTTTTTAACTTACTTTCTGATCTGGGGCTGATGCACACACTTGGGAGTTCAGATGTGATTCCAGAAATCAGAGCTCCAGCTAACTGGCCTTAGCTGATATTTCTTTTACACTCGTGTTTTCTCTTTCTTTCAAGTTCTTCACTAAAGAACTTGGGTGTCGTGAACTATAGTTGATCCGGTAACCAAGTTGAGAAAGTTGACTCGAAACTGAGTACTAAATCTCTAAACTCAAAGATAACATGGAACAACCTTTGCAGACAAGTTAAGTTCCAGGACACCATCTTACTGATATGCTACAGAACTACAAGGCTGCTGAGTTGGCTATTGGACTTCAAACTTATGTTTTTCTACACAATTTCTCACTGTATTACTCTTAACTCTCAGCCTCCATTAAATCTAAAAGTGTAGAACTTCTACTTGCGAGAATATAATAATCACATTCTCATGTATAAACATGTTACTTTATACAGTGCATATCCAAATTAATCTCTAAATGCTAGAGACGCGGTATTCTTGGTAGTATCCTGTGCCTGCTTTTCTGAGATATTTGTGAAAATTTATTTCAGCTGAGCTGTTGGGTGTTGAAAGCTGAGAGTTGAAATATGTGACACATTATATATTGAAGTTGAATGCTAATTTGCTCACGTGTCTTGGTGGAGTTCTATAGTCATATAATGTTATGTATAGATCAAAATGAAGGAATGGTCGCATAATATCACGGTATTCATTTATTTCAGGACAAGAATGGTTGTAGGCGTAGGGTCCAGACATATCGGTGGTAGTTTTGTGGAGATCATGGAACAAAATGGGTGGAGAGGGCTTTGGGTGGGTAATACAATCAACATGATCCGCATTATTCCCACTCAAGCAATTGAGCTTGGAACATTTGAGTATGTCAAAAGGGGCATGAAGTCAGCACAAGAGAAATGGAAAGAGGATGGATGCCCAAAGCTACAGCTTGGTAAGATGAAAATCGATATTCCACTCCACTTGTTATCTCCAGTTGCTATTGCTGGTGCGGCTGCTGGAATTGCTGGTACATTGATGTGCCATCCTCTTGAAGTAATTAAGGTAATTGCTGAACTGATTCAATGTTGAAGCCAAAACTTAAAACTATTTTTCCAGTCATATATTCAGTTGTTCCATCACACTCTACTTGTGTCATATTCAGTTGTTCCATCACACTCTACTTGTATCATATTGTTTATGTTCTATGGCAGGATCGCCTGACCGTGGATCGAGTGACTTATCCTAGCATTAGCATTGCCTTCAGCAAGATATATCGAACTGAAGGTATCAGAGGTCTCTATTCTGGCCTCTTCCCGACACTAATTGGCATGCTTCCTTACAGCACATGCTACTACTTTATGTACGACACAATCAAGACCTCATACTGCCGCCTACATAAGAAGAAATCCTTGAGCCGTCCTGAGCTACTCATTATCGGAGCTCTGACAGGTAAAGGGTTCAACACTGCCTGCAACTAGCTTCATTCGGTTACCAACTGAAATATCTTAAAATCCACTATGAATCCACAGAAGCGGAATTTCAACTGCTGCCCAAACAATGACTTGGAACCCGAGGGTAGTAAACAGGCATCACATTTTTCCTTGTTGGTTGCATGCAGGTCTGACGGCGAGCACGATCAGCTTCCCCCTGGAGGTGGCGAGGAAGCGGCTCATGGTAGGAGCCCTGCAGGGGAAGTGCCCGCCCAACATGGTGGCGGCCCTGTCAGAAGTGATCCGGGAGGAGGGCCTCCTGGGGATCTACCGCGGGTGGGGGGCGAGCTGCCTCAAGGTGATGCCGAATTCGGGCATCACCTGGATGTTCTACGAGGCGTGGAAGGACATCCTCCTGGCCGAGAAGGACAAGCACCTCGACTAGCCGACGATGATGAAACAGCCCTTAGGCGACTGGGCCGAGGATGATGAGTTACTGAACAAACAAACAGTGCTAGGCGTTGCTGTGGTAGAATAATGTTGTGTGGGGGGTTCTGATCCTTTCCCAGTTTTCGAATCCCCCACCTCTGCCTGTGCCGAACGGTTAGATAGGAGGGACGCGCCGGTGCGATTGGGAGTGGAAGCATTTGTGTTTGCTGCTCCTTTGCTAACTTGGAATGCATGGTTGCGCATGGTACTATTCATTAACCATTTTCAGGATGGTTGATTACAGATTGAAACGAGGGCATGTTTCCGTGCGCTCCATTTCTCCTATCATCGTCGTCAGTATTCTGCCTTGTACATTCTGGTGTGAGCCGTCAGTATTCTACCTTGTATTATCAGCCGGCAGCGTAAGGCCTCTCCTAATGCGTAGGTGCTTAGCTCAGATTGTGGTGCTAACTGTATAATAAAAAGGATCTGACGACTAAACTATCCACTGCATAGGCGCTTACGCTGTAAACTATCCACTGTAGATAGGTGTTTATCTTGTTTCTTTTAATTAGTTGTCGACTGTAAATTGTGTTTTCCTCTAGGTACACTCTCCTAGTATCATTTCTTCCTTGGTCATCAAACTTCTCTCTTCTCTTAATTACCTTTTTTTTTACGAAAAGGATCAAATCTATTATAAAGTTCACCACAAATACAAAGCATTTCAGTCATAATAAAGAATTTAACACCATTGAAGGACCACTATTGTCGCCAGAACGAGCTGTTGACGTGCCGCTTGTCAATGACAGCCTAAGGAGACGGCAAAATCTACGTGTCGACTACGTTCAGACAGACAAACTCGAGAAGAATCGGAGCCTAGAAGACAAACTCGAAGAAGCGCCGCCATCCACAACGCCACACCTGCGAGGACTAAAAAACCCTAACCTGAACTGCTAACCGGAGCGAAGGTACCAGGATCCCCCTCCCTGCCACCAGCCACCGGAGTGAAGGCATCAGGATCCCCCTCTCCACCACCAGCCAACGGAGCGGTAGGCGGAGGGTAGACAAATCCATGGGCTTGCCAGTGAAGTCTAGGGTTTGCCCTAACCGCCTAGGGTTAGGGGAGGAAGGCGAGATGATTTTTTACCAAGTTTGACAGCCTTGTACAATGGGAGGTGCTTAGGGGAGGTGCTTTGAGAAATAAACCAGACTTTTCCTAAGCACCGGCGCTTATTTGTACAGGATAGGCGCTTAACTAAGCATCTCTTCTGTAAAAATAGGCGCCGGTGCTTCAAAAAATCCGGTTTATTTTTCTAAGCATCTCTCTAAACACCTTCCATTGTACAAGGCCTTAGCACTTCCGTCATTTCAAACGCCAGGTGGCTCCTGCCTCACATCTGCACGCAGGGAGGTGCTTGGCGAGCACAGGAGAATAGGATCAGCGAAGGTAAAACCTACAGCAACCGACAGCGCAAAAACTGGAAAACTGAAACACCGAGCAAACGCTTGCAAACGCAGGGTCAGCAAATCACATCACCAAGCAGGTCTAGACATGTATACTCTACCACACCACCATTCTGGAAAATCTCTATGAGCAGCCACACGACACGATCACCATCACTCAATCATCCTAGCATAACTACACCCAGACACGGGCGACAACGACTATCTGTACGATCTGGAGTCAGTTATGTTCAGACCACTGAAAAGCACGGCTTCCTTTGTTTTTTTTTCCCGCATTCTCCACTGACAGGGTCGACCAGCGATGGCCGGCACACTTTCCGTGAAGGATCCGGGTAGTCTTCGGCTCAGGCTTTCTTCTGGGAGCCCGGCGGCGCAGCACCTGAAAACGTCGGATGCGACAAACAAGTTAAATGCAGTTAGAAACACAGGCCAAGAGAAACCTCAGTAGAAGTTGCCAAATCATTTCATAGTATAAGAATGGTAGTGTGATCGACAAGAGTTGGACACGGGGAACGCACCGTCGTCACCAGGGAACTGCTCGATTCGGCTGGCGATATGTTTGCCGAAGGTGTACTTCCTCAGCGCTTGCAAGTGACCCTTCATACGACTGACAAGAGCATCCCTCTGTTGTCCATTGCATGTTTCAAGTATCTTCTGAACCACATAATTAGCAAACTGGTCCTTCATCATCACCTACAAACAAGCATCATGACATTGCATGTCAATCCTGGGTTAAATTGAGTGAGCAAAACTGTAGCCTATAACTACTTAAACATAGAAATCAGCATACAAGTGAACATGATTACTTCTCTGTTAGAACAGAAGGGAACAGAATTACTGATACTACTGCCAAGCAGTGACAGTCAAGAGTACGGCCACACAGTATCTGAAGAGATCGAGAGAACCATTTCTGATTTCTCTATGAATCACTAATTTATGTTTTACGTCTAGATTCCTTAACTCATACTGCCTGTTGATGTTTTTACATGGAAGGTGTCTGCTTGCTCTTTTACCCGGAGTTTAGGCATTTGCCAAAACTACATCGTCAGCTATTTAACCATGAAAACATAGAAAGCCAACATTCATCGTACGTACCAGCAAATAATTATTTCCCTCAGTCTGTTCCAGAATCTTCTTGATCAAAAGATCCCGCTCTGCTACATCCCCATGTTGGAAACACTTCTCTATGACATTGGATGCAAATTTGTTTTGGCTCATGGGCACGACCTGCCTAGCCAATTTACTGATGATTTGGCTCCTTTCATGCGCTTTTCCTTTCTCCAAAACATGCTGCAAAAGAGCAGTGTTATAACAGAAGTAATACGTACTGTATGTTCGCTGGACTCAACATCAGTGATTATACTGGCTCACGTGGGAACAGATCTTTGCGTAGATTAACACACTACTACCAAATACAAAGGGATCAGAAAAGGACCAAATATCTTAGTTCGTCAGCTAGACCATATCCTCCATTGAATTATTTTCTGTCCAGACATCTGTGTAAACGATATTACAGTATAGACTGCAAAGAAAATTCACCTGTGTGACATAGTTTCCATACTGATCTTGTGCCAAGATGCAAGTTGACTGCAAGATTTCATCTATTAAACCATCTGAACCATTGCTGCAATGCTCGAGGATTCTCTGCCAAACCGACAAAAGGAGAAGTTGAACACACACAAATGATGCAAGATTTAATATAAACTACCATTATCAATTTACCTGAATAACACGACAACCATATGGATGCATGGCTAGGCTGGCAACCTGTCCCTGAAAAGCCGACACCACAAAGCCAATATGCTCCACAGGGACACACTCAACACACTTCTGTATAACATGATTCCCATTTTGGTCGCGAACACATTCTAGAACATGTCCATCAAGCTCACGAACAAGTTCTATTTTTTGATCAAGCTCAATTGCTTCAAGGGCCTGAGATATTAACAGTAAAGAAGGCAAACAAAAATCCAACAGTGAGAGCAAATATTGAGAACTCGCACTAATTCATGAGAAATAATACAACACAAGAACATACAACCTGGCATTGGCTACTGATAAAATCTAAGATACCTCTACAAATGTTTGGCTTGTGGCCCTCAGCTTTTTAGCTCTACGATTTTTATCTGTAATTACTCAACTCAGCGCTGATACAACACAAATACATACAACCCGGCATTGGCTACTGATAAAATCTAAGATAATTCTACAATCTTTGGCATGCAGTCTCCAGCCTTATAGCTCTACGGGTTTTATCTGTAATCACTCAATTCAGGGATGAGAAGCTTTCACTATATCCGTTAAAAAAACAAATGATCCAAAGCAGAGTGAGTTTTGCAGGACGTTAGCTAACATCCACGCTAGTTATCAACAAGCACATGGCATCACGAACTTTTGTTTCTTAATAAAGTTTGATCGTGTTTCACCTTCAACATATACTGATCAACTATAACTAGCCAGCCAGGAACAAAAATTGCATCCTGATTACCATGCACAATACAAAAAAGTGGCATATGATATTCAAGTTAAAATAGTCCTATGACTTGATGAAGATCACTTACTGCACAAAGTTTTCTCAACATAAATGGGAGAAACAATCTAACAAGCCGTGCTAATATGCTAGTATTCAACAACATGTTGGGGTGACATGATTCATCAATAGATAACTGGCTACAACTTTCACGAGTTGGAAAATTTTCATTACAATTCTGCACATTGGAAAAATGTCAATACAACTCTTCCATCCTCCTCTATATGCCATTATGTAAAAATTGTGCATACATGACGACCGGGCAGCATTCTCGTGGGAGACGGCTGCAGCGGTTGCACAACCCATCCGGCGCTGTCTACGAAATCGCGCGGCCCCATATACTATGCATGGTAGGTGCTGGAAGGTATTTTTCGCACGGCCCCATGCTCGCCAGAGTTAATGGCAGGTCAGTTTGGTAGGAGATGAGGGGAGGGTGAAAGTAGGAAGACAAGGGTACTTGTGTCTCAAATTTAACATAATGGCATATAGAGGAGGATGGTAGAATTGTAATGGCATTTTGCCAACTCGTGAAAGTAGTGGTGGCATAAATCCAATTAACCCTAGAATCTAAATCATTATGCTGCAATAAATACATATTCCGCAAAAGCAGTCAAATTACCTTCTGAAATACTCGGCAACCATATATCTGAAGGCTCAAAGTTAACACATGACCAGCAAGCTTTTTGGCAAGGTCTCTTCTCTGCTCAGAGTCCCCATGTTCAAACATCTGCAAGGAATAAACAATTCACAATTACTGCTGGTAACAAGGTACAAGTGTGTAATATGCCTTACAGAAAAGGTACAATCATACAAGTGTTAATGTGTCATGCCTTGCATAAACACTTGACCAGAAATAACGTATACAAAAAGAGTAGCATACCTTTTGGATCACATAATTTCCAAATACATCAGTCATCAACGATGAAGCATGAGGAAGGATTTCAGCAAACACCAAGGCCTTGTCTTCAGTGTTGCCATTCTCCAGCTTCTGCTGAATGAATCGACTGCCATTTTGGTCAGAG